GGGGGGGAATCGCCTTCCTGCATGCTTCCTTTCTGTAACGCGAAGTTCTTCCTTTTCATTAACGTGGGACTTGTACAGTGGAACCAAGCCCCAGTGAAAGTGGGACACCCCAAAGCCTGAGATTTCCCTCGCACGAAGAGGATCCTTGTACACTTATTTTATCAGGCGTTGAAGCCTCTTACAGACAATGGTAAAGAGAGATCAAGCACCAGCAATCCAGCTTTACGTTAACAAAGTCAATGATTTGGACTTTATTGAAGAACGCAGGGAGATACTAAGTTGGCAAGCACAAATGCCCAGTTCATCGTTATGGGATAGGCCGAATACAATATTACTACTGCGTCTGAGGAGGCACTAATCCGAATGGAGCACTTGTTCATTTAGAGTATCATATGGCTTTCCCCTCATATCACACAATCATGAACCATACACTGCAACGGATGGCATTCGCTCCATCTCGCCTGTGACACATTTTTAATTTAGTCTTATTCCCCTGATACTTCACAACGGCCCCGCATATCACGTTGAATTCCCCCTTGAAAGTACTGCTGAATTCGCCTCCGTCACAATTCAGGTGTAGCCTGCTATGTCATAACAACCAGCAGTGTTAGAATAACCCCGTTCTTTTCACACGATCATTGAATTGTGACCGTGCAGAACGAGACCATTCGGTTCATTGTCTGCGCCAGCTCTCCAAATGAGCATCATGACTTAGTACCATTCTCCTGCCTTTCTCCTTACCACCGCATATTGTTTCTATTTAAATAATCGCCTAATGTCCTTTTGAATACCTCGATTAAACCTGCCTTCCTCACACTTCCAGAGTGTTTCAGACCGTAAACACTGTTGTGTACATATTTCTTCTCACTTCACGTTTGCTTCTTTTGCAAATCACTTTAAATCTACGACCTGTTGTGCTTTATCCTCTTACACGTGGGAACATTTTCTCCCTGGCTGCTCTATCCAGCCCTGTCGTGATTTCAAAGACTTCTATCAGATATTGTAAAATCCTTTGCAGTGCAGTTACCGTTTGAGGTCTGAATGCAGTAATGTCTGTAAGTGGTGTGAAAAGGTAATGCAGCTTGACAACTGCAACAAGTACAAAGGCAACTTGTTCAATATTTGGCCATTCGGATTGGAGGAAAGCTATGTTTGTTTACAGTTCATAAAGGACAGGCCAATGAACTATTTAACAGTAAAAAGTATCACAAACACTTTAAGGCCAGTGAACTATAGACTGGGAGAAATAATCCTTCAGGGTCAACAAAGGGAAGAGGCTAATGTTGAATTTGGAGATATTTGTAATCAACCTGTCTAGATATTGTATGACACACATCTAGAGCAGATCGGACTCAAAGCCTTCTGGCTGCGTCATAAGAGCCCTAAAGTTTAATTTGTACAGCATGTTAATTAGGTCACTGCAGAATTTAGTGCAGTTTAGGACAGCTAAATTACTGGAATTGATGTGGAAACAATGGAAAGGAATTCCCACATAGGTTCACTGGGATATTATTTGGCATCATAGTTCAGGTATGGAGGTACTTGAAGTTGATAGAGCTGAACAGGTCAGTCAGTGATGTGATAAAATTTATGTAGATCATGTGAAAGGTCAATAGACTAAATAAGGATTGTTTTCACTGGTCAATGAAAGAGTAGCAAGAAGTCACAAATTTAAGATAATGTGAAAAAAGAATAGCCACAGAACTTTTAAAAAATATATATGGCTGATTAAATTGTAAAACATTGTGGAACCAGAATGTATTCTTAAATTATTTACATAGAAAAAAATGATATAATAAAAATATGTGCAGCAAACAGAAGAGTGGATTAAATCCACCGAAAAATGAGCTGAACCTGAAACGTTAACTCTAACTTCTGTCCACAGAAGTTGCCAGACTGCTGAGCTTTTCCAGCAGCTTCTGTTTTTGAAGCCAAAATACCTGTTTCTCTTAGTAACATAGACGTATAGGAACTGTAGTAAGCCATTCTGCTCATTGAACCTCCTCCATTATTTAATCCCGGCATGGCTGATCAAACAGTTTGCTGTCTTTTACCACACTGTCCCCATAACCCTTTACATCACTGATAATCAAAAAATATCCATCTCTAAATATACACAAATACGAAGCTTCCAAAGTCCTCTAGAATGGAGATTTCCAAGATTCACAACTCTCTGAGTACAAGTAATTCTCCTAATTTAAGTCCTAAATACATCTCCATTATTTTTAATATTTACCCCTGGTTCTAGTTTCCCCAACTGGGGTAACATCCTCCCTGTATTTACCTGCCAACTCTTGTGATTTTACCTACTAGGATGACACAAGTTTGTCTTAGTGTCATTAATCCACTTATTAACCTGTTCCTGTGTTAAAACATCCTGTGACTCAAACAGAATTATCCAAAGTAAAACTTTCAAATCATTAGTTTTACCTTTCCATACAATGTCCGTTTACAGTGGAAAATGAGCAACGGGAACATTGCTCAAGCAGTTCAGCCACATTGTGGAGACCTAGATCAAATCTCCTGAACCTTATGCACAGTTTGTGTCCTTTCTGGCCAGAAACAACACTTCCCATCCACTATAAACACTAAGGGGACGGTGTTCTCTGAAGACTCTGTTCAATTTAGAAGTTTCTAGTACCTGCTCAGTGCAACGGCTCCTTCCAATACATAATTGGTATGATGGTGTGAATGTGGCAGCAGACAGTACCATAAGTAGAGTAAAATTTCCCAGAAGCAAAAACAGAAGTTGCTAGAAAAGCTCAGCAGGTCTGACAGCATCTGTGAAGAAAAAAATCAGAGTTAACATTTCGGGTCCGGTGCCCGTTCCTCAGAAGTCAGAAGGTTTGGACAAATTGGTGCAGAATTATGATTAATGTCTCCCAACACAAGAAACGTAACATTTTTAAAGACATTTTAAGTCCTTAAAAGTGTCAGCTGAACTCAGCTAGTAGCACTATCAATTGTTGAGTTGAAGCTTTCATCTCATAAACAACTCAACAAAAGGAAAGCTGCATGGCACTAAGTATACCATACAGTTAAAAACTATTTTCTAAGCAACCTCTTCAGAGATGTTATTACACACCTCTGGAACAGGTGGGACCAAGGGCATCTGTCTGCTCAGATGATTGTAAAATGGTATTATTTGAAGAAAAACAAGGAGTTCTCTTAATATTCTCTCAACCAGTTTACCAAAACACCCTCTTTTTGAAAGCTTACTATGTACTCGGCATTCGTCAACATACCATTTAACAACATTTCAAAAATGTATCCTTGTTTCTGACGCACTGTGCAAAGCCGTGAGAATGCATTTTGACAACATTGAAATACAATTTCTTTTGTTCTTTCTTTACAAATCACCTTTGGCATCTGCATCATAAAGGCAGCAGCACCTGTAACTGTTCAGATATCTCAGTCTTGATATCAGTATATACTTAAGTATAGGAGTTTGGATGCCATGTTGAGGTTGTACAGGATGTTGGTGAGGCCCCTTCTGGAGTACCATGTCCAGTTCTGGTCGCGTAGTTATAGGAAGGATATTATTAAGCTGCAGACAGTGCAGAAGAGATTTACCCGTATGTTGCCAGGTATGGAAGGCTTGAGTTATAAAGAAAGGCTGGATAGGCTGGGAACTTTTTCACTGAAGCATCAGAGTTTGAATGGTGACCTTATGGAGGTTTATAAAATCATGAAGGGAAAAGGTAGGATTAATGGTAGTTGTCTTTTCCCTAGAATGGGGGATTTCGAGACCAGGGGGGCATATTTTTAAGGTGAGAGGAGAAAAATTTAAAAAAAGACATGAGGGGCAAATGTTTTATACAGGATTGTTCACGTGTGGAATAGATGTCCTGAGGAAGTGGTGGATGCAGGCACAACTATAATGTTTAAAAGTCACTTGGATATAGAATATCCTTTATTGTCACGGATATGTACATGAATAGAAAAGGTTTGGAGGGATATGGGCCAGGACCAGGCAGGTGGGACTAGCTTAGTTTAGGATTATGTTTGGTGTGAACTAGTTGCACTGAAAGGTCTGTTTCTGTGCTGTATGACTCTATGAGATGTGTATTTATTGTAAAATGTGGGCTGTTCACTGAGTTATAATATAATTATCAATTAACCATTCCAGATAATTGGAACTCATGGGAGTTGTGTGGAACATAATAGTTCTTACCGTACACGGGGCATTATTCAAAACTTACACTTTGAGCTGAGCCTGGATTCATCTTTTATTTATATGGCTTATATCATATAAAATACAAGGTTAATTCACCACAAGAAAGTAAATATGATATAAATTGATCTCAAGTTCTGAACCTTGGGTAGATCCCACACCACTGATCCTGGCATGAGTTCAGAGTCTGAAGA